ACCCTGACCCCCTCACGCTACAGCCGACCCCCTGCTCTGGCCTCCTCACGGCGCTGCCCATCCCTTGCCCTGACTGGACACGCGGCAGCGGCAGCCGGCGGTGGCGCAGGTTTACAAACAGTGGGAAGTTACGGCGAGGGCGGTAATTTATGAAGCACTGATCCGCGCCGGTCCAACTGGGTCAGCGATCTGTCAGCAGTGCGGACTCGACCCGCGGAGGGGGAGCACCGCCATCATCGACATCTGATGCTGGTCCACAGACAGCGAGGCTGGGATCCCGTGTCCGCCGTCCGTCGGCATGACTAGCAGTTCCATCACCAGCCTCTCGACCAACATCACTCCGTTGGCATATCCCCACTCAAACTTTGTTAACCAGGCTCTGCCATTCAACCTCTTTGTATGCGCTCTGAAATGTGATGCCAGTTATGGACGGAGTTTCCGACTTTGACCAAAGCGGCCCTACTGGGCTCCCCTCGGCGTACAGACGGCAGCCGGTGAGTCCGCCAGGGGCCGGAGGTCGGCGCCGGGCCGGGCGACGCCGGGTCGGGGCCCGCTGGAGGCTCGTCAGCGGCTTGCTTCAGCGTAATGACGGCTCCATAGATGACTCACACGCCGAGGCGGTGACGCTGATCGATCCCTGACTTCACTGACGGCCTCTCGGCTCTGCCTCACATTGCCAGGTCAGGTGGGAGGGCAAGGGTCGGGTGTTGCCGCCATACAGGGGCAAGTGTAGGATTTCGCAATGACAACGGGACGCGACTTAAACTTTTCACTTAAAATCCCATTTTAGAGCGTCACAGGCGAGCGCAATAGCCTACAAGGGTAAAACAACATCACATGACGTTTAAGTTGCTTATTTTCGCATGGGGTCTGTGTCTTTGGTACGTCGTCAGCATCAACAGGTCAAAGCTGGCACGTCTGTAATTACCTGTGGAAACACGGCCTGCTGCCTTTTCACCATGCCTGAAAAACGGCACAGAACGGACAAATGGAGCTGAGTGGCTTGACTGACAGGCGTTTGTCGCCGAGTGCAGATTGGGTACGCAATGCAGGACATCAGCTGTAACCATACCAGTAAACACCTCTGGTGTAGAGCCTCCCCCTCTCAGTGGCGTGTGCCCAGACTGTGCCGCAGTGCAAAGTAAATCTTGCTCAAATGAGCCGCGGATGGCATGGCGTTCAGTCGGCTTCCTGACCTGCCTTCCGAGGACGCCGACAGCACAGCAGAAGAAGGCGGTTCGAATGGTGTTGGCTCGCACGAGCACTGACGTTGTGACAGAAGTGCCGACAACATTGGTGACCACGACCACTGCATTTGAATGTCATAATGGCCATATACCAATGGTCGCATGCTACCTTTGCAAATCCATCCAATTTTCGTGCCAAGGTTTTGTGGGATGACAAAGTATTCACTACGAGATGTAGAATGAAAACTCATAGAGCAATGTTCTCAGTGCCAAAACTCCTCGGTTTAACACTGATTCCCTTCACCGTACTGACCAGCTTGTTGCCCAGTCTCGAAGGGCTGTCATCGGTCGGACGCGCATCATCCGCCGCTGTCACCTGCGGGTCGCCTCTGAGGTGACTCCACCCTCCCGTGACGGACGGGCCGTCACTGCCCGCCGCGTCGCCGCCCGCCGGGTGCCTTGGTCACTTCAGCGCGAGCTCTAATGGATTTCACACGCCAGCGTAATCACGACGGAGGATGCTCTTAGGCCGGCCTGGCTCTGTCCTAATGGTCTGCCCCATCTGAGAATCTCGTGGATAATCTGGGAATTGTTTGATAGGTTGAAATCATATTCGGATGAAAGCCGCGATGGATGTCGGGCAAGAGAACGTAAGAGATAAACAACCTGCCTAGGTACGAATACGTGAAGCGCGGTATGACAGACAATGGCGGTCCACTCACCAGCCACAATATGGACCGACATTTGGACTGACCTGTGTATGTGCGAGCTATTCTGACGTTCCGGGGCGTCCAGCGTGCGGTGGATATCAGCTGAAAGTCTGTGTTGTGTGTGATGTTCTCGGCTGACTCCCTTAATGAAAGGGGTCGGGTATTGGGCGACTTCAGGAAGAAAATTCGTGTTTCCCGCAGTCTCAGCCGCGAGTTGCATACACCGATCTGATAGAACCCTTCCACCACCAGTTGGGGTCGGCTGACCTGACCTGAGATGACCCGTTTGACCTCCATCAGGCCCAGACGTTTGACCGGGAAGCGAACTCCCGGCACATGGATGGGGTAGAAAGCCAACATCTTGCCTGTGATCACCATCGGTCGGGAGCTTGTGTCGGGGAACACCCGACATTTCCTCCTACGGCCCGCCTGGGTCAGGTCAGGACAGGTCAAACACGTCACAACCAGGGCCAGCGTTAGCCATCGTGCCGTAGCCATGTCGACGGCCGCAGCGGCTCTGTCCAGTCTGTCGCGTCGATCACAGGCCTGCGAAGGCCATCAAGTGTTCTTGTCGCTCGGACATGTGCTCCGGCCGGAATCTATGCCACCAAAACACAGAGCAAGGCTGCGTAAACACTGCACTGCCGGCTCAACGCTTGAGTGGCCGGAGGTGCTTGGCTCACCGCTTGTTTCGGTCCGCATCCAACACCACGGCCTCGCACAACTCTGCTATTGACGGCCGTTTAGATCGCACTCCAAAATAGGCCGCACCTCGAGAGGCCGGGCACCCCTATGTCGCTGAAGGCAGATGCTGCCGTAGCCTGGAGCACGTGAACAGCCGAGGCCTGGAGCAGGCGGCGGCAGAGCTGACCCTCGAGAGTGGTGGAGGGCGCCACCGTCACGCTCCAGTCTCCGGCGTCGACGAGCGGCAGGCCACTCCAGCCGTGCCCCGCGTCTCCTCCGGGGCCGACGGCTGGGAGAGGACGGGAGGGAGGGGGACTGAAGACGGCGGGGCGGTAGAGGACGGGAGTGACGACGGCGGAGGGAAGACGGCGGGAGCTAAGGATGACGGGAGGGAAGAGGGCGAAAGTTGTTGTCAGGAATGATACATCAAGGGAGGATAAAGCACAGGAACAGCAGGATAACAGATGGGCAAAGGTCGGAAACTAAATACGCTACAAGGCCTGCATATAGGGCAGGAACAGCGGGAGAGCTGATAAGCACAGGGTGGCGAGCAGGGAGGAAAGCACGGTAGGATCAGGGAAATACGACGCAAGAGAGAATGGAGGGAAAGGAAGTGGACACAGCATGAAGCAGAATGGACTGGCAAAAACTTTGCAAAGACGAGCAACAAATATCAGGCAATTGGTTCTGATAAAAAAACACCGCAAAAGTAAAAGCAGCATTACTAAAAAATATTGACGAAAAAAAACCTTATTCATTAATTTACAAACAAAACAGTAAAACACAATTTGCAATATGCAGTTACCTACGTTGTTTCGTAAAACCAGCGAAGAAAGAAGTATGAATGACAGAAATCCGTCCATTGAAAAAGCAGCTTTAATAAATAACTCTCAACTTAGTTAACTACTTTCGTCATTGCTGCCAATTAACGTGCGGGCTGCTGCAAGCCGGCCAGGGGCATACGCAACGTACGTGCTGCATGCTAGTGCTGACCGGGAATAAAGCTTTCCTCCACCATACGATAATGACGAAAATTGTGTAAAACTCATGCAGCTCATGAGTTTTATGAGCGTTCTGTGCGATATCTCTACAAGCAAACCAAGACACGCCACACCACCTTGCCGCTGCACATGGAGGCACGCCTCCCGCGAGCGTTGTCTGTCCTTCAGTGGTGAGCGAGCTGTTTTCTGACCACACAGCTTACTCCGTGCCGCTCCATCTCACTGGCCACGGCGTGTCAGTAGCCGATGGATGGGTCGAACACACCTCTCTCCTCTCCCTCCCCCCAGGACCAGGCGGGTAAGGACCGCTGATGCCCCTGCCAGCGCCCCTGTCCTCAGCCAGTCGCCGACTTTGGGCGTCGCCACCATGAAAGGGAGCGGTCACGGTTACAGGCCAAACCCAGCGCTCAGGGCCACTTCAGGGAAGGATGGGATACTAGTCGAGCATTAATCTAACTGCTTTATCTGGGTACTAGTGGAGGCCATGCGATGATGACATTTGATCGCTATAAATGTTCCGGACGTACCATTGCGCAAAGACTCTTCAGTCTCATAACAATGGTTCAGTCTTTGGTTCACGCATGAATTATTGCTTGCAAAAGCAATCGTTACGTTGCTTTATGTCTGCAGACTAGGTCTCGACCGATTAACTGTGTCAATAACTTAGATGAAGAAGATCGGGTAACACGTAAGGTTCGCACAATATTTCACAGCTAATAAGGCAAGCTAATAAGACAAGTGGCGGGGTTAGCCGATTCATAACACACTCCGGACGTAAGGGATTACGTGTTTGAAGCCCAAAGCTCGAGGCGAGGAAGACGCCATTACAGCACATCTGATTAAGGAATGTTTACGAAGATTTACGCGGAGGGGTGAATGCGTCACTCCACCCAACTGCTGGCGGCACAAAGAGCCTATACGGCGCCAGATCTAGTGTGCTGAACTGCTGAACAACAAACTATATGCTGAAAACCGTCGCCGTACGGAGCGGGGAAGATGATGAAAGTCGTAGAGAGATGGGAGATGACGAGAGCCGCGGAGGGAAAGACGATGATGACAGGAGCTCGTACAGGGTTTCCGCCATCTCGTAACTAACGCGACCCATGTGCGAACGGTCACCAGGCGCCACCCGTGGACTCCTGTCCATCCGGTCACCCGGGATCCCATGACCCGCTTGGCACACATAGGTGCCGGTGCCGGACCGTCACGCGAGCTTTCACCGCCGGGTGATGTGACACGGTCTGCCGGTGTGAAGGGGCCCACTGTCTGACAGTGAGCTGCTGGCACCGGCCGCTGTGACGGACACCGGCCGGCCAGGACAGGACCGTGACCTTGGCCTGACGGACGGCGGCCCGCCGTGTGCACGTCTGCTGACACTTGGTGACCTTTCGAGCTGACTGATCGGGCCAGTGCGTCGCCCAGCACGGTCGGAACGTGTCAGTGCCACGCCAACCGGACCCAGTATGGGGACTAGTGTGATCATTGTGTTGGCTCTGGCTGTAGTGGTGTGTCAAGCCGCTTCAACAAGACGAGGTGCGTATATCTGGTGTGAAGACCTGAACTTGAGCCACGCTCAGTCCGGCCCCATTTTTATTTAACTGCAGCGTTGGGGCCTTTTTCATGGTGCAATGACTTAAACATCACTGGCACCAACTTTGCAATTCACATGAGAAGAGCGGTTTGTTGCTTTTAACATACAAACATTTAACCCACATTTGATAATGCTCTTTCTTAGTCCTTCACAGGGTTTGTCTGGACGGTGAGAGGAAGACCGACGGTTGTAACCGGTGCTCCTGCTTGGGAGGCGCCTGGGCTTGCACCCTCAGAGCCTGCGTCGACCCCGCAGGTACGGGCCGGGGGGAGGGTGCACCGCTCTGTATCAGATGTGACGTCAGGAGTACCCCATGCTCTGTATGATAACAAGACGGTTAGTTCATTTTCTTTTTCTTATTCTCCCTTGCTCGTCCGCTCTTGCTCTTGTTCTATAATTCCCATTTATGTTCTCTTATTCTCCTTCTAGGTGGCATACCTTTCGTGGTTACGATCCCGTTCTCATTCCCACACTTGCGCTTGGTTCCGTTGCTGGACATCTTTGCTTTAGTGTCTTGTTTGGTAAGTGGAGAGCGTCCTCCCCAGTTTTGCATCTTCAGAGCACCTCACTCCTCGGGACGGAGATGATCAGATGTGTGTCCCCACCCCGGGCCAGCCGTCACCTGGTGTTCAATACAGACAACACGTTTCGCCACTGCTTTACATCTCTTATAAGCATCATCTGAACTTCGCATCACTGTTTGTGACTGTAGGCAGTCACATGTTTAGACCCAATGCTAGTCAAAAACTACTGGCCTGATCTCAGAACACAAACGTAAAATTAAACGGACTGTGTTCCAATCAACCGGTCGTAATGAGTTTCGCTAGATTAATATCACTGTTAGTCTCATATGTACAGAATCTCAGTCCTCTCACTGTTGCACATTTTGTTAACTGCAATTTGTTTTTTTAGATATATTTCCTGGATCGCTGCCATGCAAGCTGGCTCCCCACATCAAAGGGTGTTGAAGAATCTCGCCACGATGTCAAGAATACCTGCTTGACTAAACGAGGCAGAACAATTGTTGGTGAGTGAGCTTCAACTGCCTTTTGATTTGAACATCATTATCGTTCACGTTCTAAAGCAGCCTTGAGTCTATTTGCTTTTAGGAGTATACGATGCAAAATTTTTTTTTCGTGACATTTACAATATAATGTAGAATTATGCAGCAAGTAAGGACCTGCACCACGCACCTAATTTAAGATTGATCTTTTGTTATTTTTGTTTCAGGCTGATTAAAGAAAATGTCACGGCAACCAAGAGCCGTGTTCGTATGTGAAATTTTTACGTAGTTGTAAGCATTGTTATATACCTGAAAGACACTTCCTGGAACTTGAACCGCTCGCTCGTTGTTTGTGCGACTGAATTTGTTCAATGTCATTTGGAAATCTGTCAGCTGAGACCAATATAAATGGCATGCAGCATTGATGTGTGACTGACAAAAGACATCAAAGGATTTGAATTCAAGGAGTGAACAAGCACGCAAAAAACTGATGACATAGGCCTTTAATCGTCACACCATCGTCACTGGTCCTCAGCATTAAACAAACCTAGTATTTAAACGAAAATATTCTGCTGAAGTAGCCGAATGTGTGTATCTAAGGCTAAATCTATTTCTGAATACCTATAGTCCTTTACACAACAACAACAAACACTAAAACAACAATGATCCCCAGGCGTACACCAACACCTACTCCCCCGCCCTGCCGCCCTGAGCTTGTTGCACACACACAACCCGTCACTGGTCCTCAGCAGTATCCGACCATCAGCTCCTCCCGTCCTGCCGCCTTGAACACCAAACACCCCGTCACTGGTCCTCAGCGGTACACCACCACCCGCTCCTCCCGCCCTGCCGCTCTGAGCATTCCCGGCCGTCCGTCCTGACCGTTGTTCCTCTCGCCGGAGTCTGTCGGCCGGCGGGCCGTCGGAGATGGTATCGGGTGGCGGGACGGGGCTGAGTCCGGCCCGGCCCACCCCACACCCCGCGGCGGGGGCGCAGATCGGCCCGATAGTCAACACTAATTGGCCTGCCAGGCGGCAGAGTCGCTCACTGACCCGGGGATGAGGCACTGAAGAAGTACAGGACCAGGGCGACGGTGCACAGCTGTCCCCTAGGGAAAGAAGGTGGAGAGGTCAGGGAGGAACAGAGGCAGAGATTAGGGATTGAAGGAGCGACGGGGCAGAGGTAAAACTACGGGAAAGTGCTCACCTACGCATGCCAAAAAGAGTGAAAATCATGGACATTGAATTAGCTATCTAACTTACCAACCAAATGGGATATTCCTTAGCACAGGTTGCAGATTGCGTGACTCAAAATATGTTCACTTGATAAGGTGCCACTCGATTACTTTATCCAGTTTTATATGTTGACATTCCATCAAATATATATCCAACATTTCCATGATCATTTAGCTCATCCACACCGCATCGCGTATTTAAATGTGTGTCCCCGGTTCATTGCTTTGCTGGCAGACTACATCATCACAGGCATTGATGATCAGTATTGCTAAAAGTCTTGACACGCACTGCCTGGTCTCTGGCGCCTTGGTGTCTGAGCTCCGTGCGTGCGTGTGGCCGCCATCCGTACCTCACAGCGTCTGCTCTTAGAACTAATGCATGTTTATTCATTGCTCCTAAGGCTTAAATGCCTATACAATTGCGGCCCGTGTGAGGCGTTTTACGACGGTAGTACACAAATAAACATGTCAGCCCTGCTGGCCATACCACCCGCTTCCACAGAGCAGCGTGGTTTTCTCCAGTCCTTGCAGCAGCACAGGTCTGCTATGGCCATTGGGGCTCAGCTCTCAGCCGTGTTATTTACGGCTGCACGCTCGAACTGTTGGCCTGCCGGGGACAGTGCGGCCGGTAAATACGTCATCCCCAGCAGCAGGGTGGAGTCCGAGGGGCGTTGCACAATGCTGGCTGGCGAATAGGCCGCGGGAGCTTATGCGCATTATAGAGATCGCTGGCGGTGATTGCATTCAGGCTGAAGCGCGTACCGTCTGGGTGCCATTAACGTGCCACACGAGGCCAGAGGGGCGCCTTAACCCGGATCATTCGTCCCGCTAACCACCGAAAGTGGCAGGCAACGCGAGCAAAGCAAAGTGACCTCCTCCAACGCGCATCAATGATAACCTGGCCCGTAATTCGGTATCAGTGGCGCGTGGCCCGTGGGAGGACACGGCCTGACATGCCGTGCACGCGCCCCGCACGCGTCTGGCTGACCGCGAAGCGGGTCGGCCGGTCGGCCTGGTGATGCTGCGATCTGATGGTGGATGGAGCGCAGACGCACACCCTGCCGCAGATGCTTGAGCCTCGTATGGCCCTGACGGCCGGTCCGACGGCGGATCGAGATCTGATGACACCAACCGGCCGTCCCCGGGTCACCAGCGACGTCAATGGGTGGTGTGCAGAGCTGGGGTCGGCCCGAGGCTCGCAGATGCCATCACCGGCAGCCGCTCCCCGTCGCGGTCAATGGAGAGCCGGTGACCGTCTAATGCCGCCATGGTAAACGGATGGCGTAACAGGAGAGGGCACTTCTTGTGCAGCGATGGGACTGCACAGGGCCTGGTGAAACCGCAAGGATGCTCTCACTGTCAGTTAGCGTTAGCATTACTTCTATGAACGTGCTATAGATGCCTCAAATGGAAACCTAACGACCACGTCATTTATTTCACACGTGTATGTCGAAAATCAGTTCGGTCCGAGATGTTCACAAAGATGACGCTCCAGTATCCATCAGAGACCACTCCCTGTCTGTGTATTCGCACCCAGCCGCCTGTTTGGCTTCCGACAGGTCAGTGAGTGATGACTGCTGTCGGACCGGTCCTGTCCTCCGGTCTCAGCGTGTGGTCCGCTCATCTGACGCCACAAACACGCAGCTGAACACGGCTCAAGCGGACCTCTCGCAGTGTGCGGTCCATCTAGGCCACAGGATCGCCCTGTTACCAATGCCACTGCCGCTGAGTCTGTCTGTAAACGGCATCACCGGATCCCGAGCGGCGGGCCGTGCCGGGCGGCGTCATCACGGCCGCCATCGCTGATGACGGGCCCGGATGACTCACCGGTCGGAAGCGGCGAGCTGCGGCCTGCCTGATGGACGTGTGCAGCGCGGCAGACGCGTGAAGAATGTGGTCATATGTCGGCCGGTCAGCTGGGTTATGTGGGGAGGTTTACCATAGACGTGAGTGATGAGGTCAAATGTGGACTGGTCAGCTGGTTGTGGCTTTGTCATCAGCAGCATCGGATCTACCCCGCCTCATTGCTTGCGATCGATAGATCACTTGCACTGGGCTACTCTCCGATTAGTATTGCGGCAAATGGTCCAGGCCCTCTGATGAACAACATATACAATACATGTGACGTAAACTTCGAACCGTAAACTTTCTCCATATATGCGTACATTTAAAGCATGACCCCAGATTCAAACCAAATTCCCAAGCTGTTTTGGAAGCATTTGTTTGTATTAGAGATCATTCAATGGACGCCTTAACCGCAAACACTAATCACGTTTACATTGATCTGCGAAGTCATTATACACAAAAGCGAACGGATCCATCTTTTGACGTCCTGCATGGACAGCTGACTATCGATACCAAGAACCAAGACTGTAGCCAGTGATAATCAGCTGAATGATATCTTGATTGCCGTGAGGCACAGAATCCTTCAGCTTTACAAGGAGCTTGTCAAAAACGGCCCACTGATCTCCATGAAGCACCGCAGAAGAGAAATGAATGGCAAAGGGAACGGATGTATGAATAGCATGTTCCTGTGTGTTCAAAACCGACGCGCGCACAAACAGACGGGGAGAGCAAATTCCGTATGTGCGAGTGGAGCGATTACGTCATTGGTAACACGGCGGAGGTATACCGCAAATAAAGGGCGGGTGGGCTGAGGGTGGCACTCTATGGGTACTACAGGTATTTGTGTCAGCGTACACTGTATGAACACCTCGCTCCCACTGGCGCTCCGACAAAGGGTGGCATATGCACCGAAAAGTTCTTAGCTGACATCGGGCTTGTGGAGCAATTCTTTAAAAACTTAATCCAAGGTTGAGCTTTATTTGCCAACTCTGCGTGCGATTCAACCGAAAGCTTATCGAGGTTTGGCAAACACGTGATACAACAGAGCCGCAAACGCCTGGCACAAATGGTATGTCTGGGAGGCCTTTCGATGAACAGCTGGGAGCTGTCTGTGTTACCTGGATTGTTTGTGCAATGGTACTCTGTCGAAATAAGATATGCAGTCCATTGGAAGAAAAACTTTCGCCACAGTGGAATGCTTGATACAGTCGCCAAAGCATCCGTCAGCACGTTTAGCAGGTCATGCCCGAATGAATTTCAGACCTATAATCAAGTTAGCCGACACATTCCAGCAATGATACCCTTCCCGTAATAAACGACCGCTGCTGTCAACCGGTGGGAAACTTATGACGCGATGAATGGTGGTTTATACTGGAATGCGAAGCCACTTTCGGGCACTGGTCCTAGTAGACGGACACTCTCAAGCACACTATGCACAACAATTATGACGTTGGAGGTTTGAGCTAAATCTAAAAAACGGTCGTAAAATGTCAGTGGTCCTTAACTTCGGAAAACGCTGGTGTGTTGGAAGAATGGAGTGCACGAAACATGCTTATCATGTTCAACTGACAACATCCAACACAGACCGCGTGTCATCTTCTCACCAACCTGGTATTTGTAGAACCCTCCGTACGTTGCCTTTAGTAATCCTGAAGAAGCCACGAACTTCAAATGGGTTTCGTTGCCCGGTGACGAGAAGAATCCGTCTCGACCCTTTCTTGACCGACGCACCGCACGTTTGTGCTCCGATTCCGTGCACTCGGATCAGGGTGTGACGCAATTTCCCATCACCTCGCAGGACGCGCCTCACTCGGAACGTCCCCGTGCCTCGAGCTCTGTTCAGAGCGACGAGCCTGCCCATCACTGCCGTCAGTGGTTCGCCACGGACCTCTGAGCGGCAGGTCAGGTCACCGACCTTGCCCGACCTGCCCGCTCCAGTGACGGCCATCAGGCAGACCAACACACTCACTGTCCACACGCGGGTCATCGTGACGGCGCCTCGTGCCGGCTGACCTCGGGGCGCCGGGTGGCGGTGCGAGGAGGCAGCGCGTCACCCCTACGGAGCGGCGGTCGGCCTCCTACTGCGGGTGTATGGACTCCACCCAGACGGCCGGTCACCGGCCCGTCGGACCGCCAGCCGCCGGGCCCGGTCGGCCGGCCAAACGACCAATCATCAGTCCCCGCTCCGGCGGCATCGGACACGCTGGCCGAACTGCTGCATACGGCTATGCTGACCGTACTGCTGTGAACTGGTCAGCTGACTACAGCCTGTCCAATAACTCAGCGCACCCGATGTGATGGCCATATATATGGACACTAATATAATGACGGATCATTCGGCTTACACACCTGTAGCCCACGTCC